GTTAATGGGCTAATGGGCCGTTGCCAATTGTATGTTGAATTATTGATGTGATGAGTTATATAGATTAGGATTGAATAAAAGATCCACATTGTTTAAGTTCAATTGGTTGTAGCCTTATTGACGATGAGCACTACCCAGGGATACCAGGATGGTCGATGTTATAAGACACTTTACTTAATAGATATAGCATCCAGCCACTTCATGATCATTTGCCCGAAGTTAGAAGGAATACGTTACGTTGGAATAAGACATTTTGGAAACGTGTCAACGAATATAGACCTGTTCTTGAAAGCCTGTACGCCACCATTGTTTTAATCTGTGGTGAGCTCCCCGGTCTTCACATATATGATATTGCAAATTTGATTGGTGGCGCAAGCACCTTGACCGGCTTTAGCAAAACTGTGTGATTCGGACGATGCACTTTAACTATCGCCACATATATCTGAACCTACGCATACATAAAGGTATTTCGAGGAGATCCCTTCTGACTGGTTTAGTCAACCAATCATTTCTGGTGACGTAAATGGTCAGAAACAAGTCACAAACACACTCAAATAAAATGGCGCTTAGGCTTGTCATTCTTAAATGTAAATCCCGATATTCCGATTAGGGTTGGGATTAATATAAGAAGATATTTTACCGTATTTTTATTTTAGCTACATTGTTCTGTGTGGGCGCCGTGTGCGGACGATTATTATGATTTACTTTTTTGTTCATTCTAGTGTAACTCTCAACATCGGTGAGGTGATAACTGATTAAACAAACCTGCTTCGCGAAGACACTTTCTCGGGTACATTTACGCCAATATCGTTGAGGTTATAACTGAATAAACAAACCTGCTTCGCGAAGACACTTTCTCGGGTACATTTACGCCAATATCGTTGATATTCTCGCCATGGTGATGTAAATCTTTGAAAATAAAACCTGTAATTTCAGAACACAAATCAATGATGAGAATCCAAAGAGAGAATATCCTTGATGGTTTGTGATATATGTAATATTATTTTTCGACAACAAATACATTACCATGTTTAGTCACTCATAGGCCATCGTAGTGCATATAATTTTTAGACGATAACAGATTAAAGCTGAATATATTTGCAATATTCTAATTAGAGCAGATATCGAATGCATAAATTATCCAATGCGTTCTATATATCTTTCATATCAATTCATTTCATTACGAATACACAAATATTGAGGTGTCGTGCATTTGAAAACATATAACGACATAAATCACACATGAATATGTACATACATACCGGTCAATGAAATTATAACACACCAGTGTCCGGATTACTTTCGGAAATTTTACCGCATTTCGGAAATTTTGAACTTTTTAAGTTTAATTTGTACTTCTAGGTTAGTAGGGGTTCGTGGGCCGGTTATGAATGACGGCTTTAGCGAAAGTGTGCGATTCGGACGATGTATTTTAACTATCGCCACATTATCTGAACCTACGCATACATAAATGTATTTCAAGGAGAGCCCTTCTGACTGGTTTAGTCAACCAATCATTTTTGGTGACGTAAATGGTCAGAAACAAGTCACAATCACACTCAAATAAAATGGCGCTTAGGTTTGTCATTCTTAAATGCAACGAACATCAATTTATGTTGTTTTTTCATAATTATATTATGACTTAAACCAATGTATGTGGTTATTTTGCATGGTTTTCGTCAACGGTTCTACCGAACACCAGTATCTTTTTGCACTGGGGATGGGTGTTTTTTGTTGTTTTTTTTGTTTTGTTTTCCAGCTGTAAATTCCGATTTGGGTTGGGATTAAATATAAGAAGATATTTTACCGTATTTTTATTTTAGCTACATTGTTCTGCGTGGGCGCCGTGTGCGGGCGATTATTATGATTTACTTTTTTGTGAGGTTATAACTGAATAAACAAACCTGCTTCGCGAAGACACTTTCTCGGGTACATTTACGCCAATAACGTTGATATTCTCGCCGTGGTGATGTAAATCTTTGACAATAAAACCTGTTATTTCAGAACACAAATCAATGATGAGAATCCAAAGAGAGAATATCCTTGATGGTTTGTGATATATGTAATATTATTTTTCGACAACAAATACATTACCATGTTTAGTCACTCATAGGCCATCGTAGTGCATATAATTTTTAGACGATAACAAATTAAAGCTGAATATATTTGCAATATTCTAATTAGGGCAGATATCGAATGCATAAATTATCCAATGCGTTCTATATATATTTCATATCAATTCATTTCATTACGAATACACAAATATTGAGGTGCCGTGCATTTGAAAACATATAACGACATAAATCACACATGAATATGTACACACATATCGGTCAATGAAATTATAACACACCAGTGTCCGGATTACTTTCGGGAATTTTACCGCATTTCGGAAACTTTGAACTTTTTAAAATTCATTTGTACTTGTAGGTTAGTAGGGTGATAAAAATATTACTTAAAATGCACTGCAACACTGTTACAATTTATTGACCAGTAGAACATATTAATCATGAATGGTGCAAATTAGATGTCTTGTATGTATATGTATTTTTATTTGCCTTTTGTTTTCTGAATGATATAGTGGTTGGAAGTCTGCACTGAAGTTGGTGAGCAAAAGGATGAAGAAATGGCTGCCAATTCCAATGTACCATTATATTTGTAACATGAAAATATATCTACCATAATTTTATGGTTGATGGAAAATGAAATAAACAAAAGATTGGCATGCCGATCAACGATTTTTGTCAAGAAGAATGACATTTAATTTGAGAGTAAGGTAGTAAAGTTGTACATTAGGCCTTCCTATAACATTACTTAGCTTGGATGCAACATTATCAAGAAGCTATCACTGAAAGCAAAAACAGAATATTTCACTTGTGCGATTCAAAAATAACAACATCACTATACTTAAAGTGTATGAAGTTGATGTTTATGTATGATGTCATCTGTACCTGTATTTAGTAAATTTAATGTAATCAAATTTTTAATAGAATTTATTAGATATATGCATTGATGGTAACCTGTGAGTGCTGTCAAGAATATATTATCCTATTACGTTAAACATCTGCAGAAAAAATGTAGTTAGGTTGAATATTATCGGTATCTTGTGTTGGATATAGTTGCAGAACGTTTCTGTCAAGGGTTGAACAAATTCCACTTTAATATTTTAGTAACTTGCAACAATACGCGTTTATACCCAGATTAGTGATAGGAAAATTTTCTTGCAAATGTTCATATACTCAAACTGTCAAATAGTAACGTGTGAATATATAATGAGAACTAAACCAATTGAACACAACTGTTCCATTTATTTTAGAATTGTTTTCATGAATCTTTTGTTACAAACTCAAATTGTACTTGGCATTCCTTTTGTCCATGTTCAAGATGTTTTTGCAATTGTTTATGTTTCATTTTGCTTGATATATTGAAGTTCATGCACCATCACAGGGTATGTGTGATCATCTTATTGTGTCTGAACACAGGGAGCCCAGGAACTATGATCAACTGTACACACTCCCTATGAGCGGCGGCGGGTATCGGCTGGTATCAAGTGTAAGAAATAGACAAGGGATGACGGCTCCAGTGAGCTCATATTTGGAAAAAACAGACAAACAGAATGAAGAATAAAATCTATAAAAAATACCAGGTTGAAGAATAATAGTTGCTCTTTCAAATTTCACCAAAGCTTTACCTATATTTTACCTATATCTGCGGAATAAATCAAGAAAACTACACAAATTGACCCCATTTATGAATAATTAACGGTTGGCCCGAACGCACGGCACAATTGGAGGCGTGGCCTGTTCAGAATTTGTCAGACAGTCAGTATATTAAGGGGCACTGGATGTGATTAAACAATTGTTCAATATGCACTTGTATCCCCTGATATTTATTAAAGTGATAAACTGATTGTGCCGATATCAATGTAGTAGAGTCTCATAAAGTACACAGAACATATAACACTTATAATACACAGCAGTGACAAACCTTAAATTAGTATGACAGGTGGCAGTGTGAAAAAGCCTTATTTCACGAAAGAGGAAGCCAAAACATCTAGTCCAGGTGCCGAACTTGTTGAAACTGAAAATCTACCAATCCACAGAAATCCTACGCTACATTGTCAAGACCATGTACACTTACTGTTGCATCAAATCAGACTTCAACTTTTTTTATTGGAAAGTGGACTCTCAAGTTTAAAACTTGTACAATACCTTAACATTGTCGACAGACTTTTCTATGCTAAGCACATGACATACTACTTGCAGGACATTTAGGTGTGGAGAAAACTAAAAGGCTACTTCAACACTACTATTGGCCTGAAATCTTCACAGATATTGTCGTACGTCGTGTGAATCATATCAAAAGTCTGCAGATAAAATGATTGGTGTTAAGGTAAAGAAAGGGGAAAAAGGACTAATAGTTTTATTGTCATTAGGACTTTCCCTCCCGTTATTAAACATGCGTTTCCATAAAGCCGAGATACAGGATATTATTTTTAGTGTAAATATTTGCTAAAAATTGAGTTTTTTACGTGGGATTGGCCATTTCTCGTTGTTCATTCTTTCTATGATTTGTTTACTTCTGATTTATAAGATAATGATCATTGAAACTGGGTTCCAGAATGTGTATGTGCCTCACAGTTCTGGAGATATAGTCCATCAAACTTTATGGACTAAATTCTATGAATGTATCCATGATTTTATAGTCAGAACTCTATGTCAATGGCTCGCTGGCACGTCTATGAGATTTTTAGCCCATTTCGCGATGAATAGATGATGTAATTTGTGCATCAAGAGCGTAAAAAGTGTTGAATTTTCAGTCGTAGTAGTCAAAAAATAGTTTCCGTAAAAACGGCATATAAAGTTGTGTATTTGGCTGTAGATAAACAGATAATTAAATACCTAACGTATACCATTTCGATAAGATTTTATAAGTATACAGGTGTCTACGAGGACTCTTATGTTCAAGTCATTTTGTTATGTTAAACAGCTCCAGTCCCTTTGTTATGTTAAACAGCTCCAACAGTATACTTAGTAATCAGTTCTCTAAACACAGGGCGGGCCATTGTGACAACATACTTATGCTACACTGTATATCACAGTCCCTGGAAAGGGGTGTCGTTATAAGAAATATTGAAATTATGCTTATGTATACGATGTCACTGTCACGATTTATTTTTTTAATAACACTTTCAAATATACACAACATAGGAGACAAATCAATTCGAAAATTCTGTGTTCACCTTCCTTTGTTGTCTTTGTGCCTTGATACAGAATAATACACAGTATTTTCACCAATTATATAGAAAGTATAATGTTTAATATTCTAACAAGATCTAACAAAGACAAGTCATTGTCAATGACACGTCCCCGTTCCGTTCATATTTGAGTGACATATACATTCAAAGCAGCAACAATATGGATGTTGAACTGCATTCAGTAAAACAAAATAGCCACCAGTCAGCCATTTTCAACACAATCCAAAAAAAATTTTTAACTAAATTTGCCCACGCATGACATAGATTCAGTTCCGGTATGGTGAAAATGTGCAATTTTTGTGAATTTTTGACCTTAAAAGGACTGGCCCAAATGCACAGGCATATGTATGATATAATGTATGATGTGTATGTGAAGTTTGAACTTCCTGTCCAGGCATGTCCCCGATATGCATTGAAAACTAAATTCTTTAAAACAAAATGGCCGCCAGGTGGTCATTTTGAACTTCATCCGAAGAAAAATTGGTATGCATCAAGCTTATATTATGTTTAACATATGCACTAAATCTGAACAAAATCCATCCATGCATGACTGAGATCCGGTTCCGGAATTGTGAAAATACGTGATTTTGATGCATTTTCGGCCTTAAAATGGCTATCATTCAGCTATTGTTAAGCGGATCATGAAACAAATACACATATCTATTTGTGACATGATGTACCATGTGTGTGTGAAGTT